TTACAATTTTGTCGGTTAAAGGTTGGATCGAAAAGGTCAACTGGATGAAATTTGGAAACCCCTTTTTTTGTCGGTGTGGGTGGTTTAAAACAGAGGTTCGACTAGGTAAATGTGAGTGGAAAGTTTTAGAGGTTGTTGATTTTTTCAAAAGTTCCGAAACATTGGTTCTATCTAACCATTTAATCATAATTTCTCTGACTTCCTAAAAAGCTTTCAAAAAAATATTCCTCAAAGTACTCTATAATTTTCTATAGATTTAATACAACAGCAAACATCTCATCGAGTTTTTACTAGTTATACCGATGGAGATTTTTCGAAGGCAACTTTTTTCCAGCAATCATGTTTTTCATGTATCATTGCTCGAAACTCAAATGTTTATAGTTTGACCTTTATTTTGGAATCAAAGTTCCCTTTAAACACACCTCATTTTCTCCCTCTCTCATCCACAAATGATTTTCCCTATGTTGTTTCAAAAAGGTTGTTTATTTTGTTTATTCCCCAGCCGTTTTCGGCAAACACAAAAGAATGGAATAATCCTCAGTTCGGTTCGTGCTTTTTAGACACCTTACTCTCCATGTCTGCGTCTCTCGCTCTCTCGTTTCGTATAACCTAATCCCATCTTTGCCAAAATAATCAACCATAACAATTTTTCGATATTTTTCTATTGTAGCTGGAACGGAATTTTGAACTGTATCACAAGGCGAATTGTTACGAATTTTGGATTCAAAAATTCATAGGATTATCTGCCTGTTGTTGGTTAGATTTTTAATAAAACAATTTATTAGGTTGGCGGGAAAGTCTTTGTCACTCTGTTTGTTTAATCACTGTTCTCGTATATGGAGGCTGTGTATGATATCGACTCTAGTGAATAACAAGGTGATAAGAACCTTCCATATAAACAAGTCCCCATCTCCTTCCCTGCTCCTCATCTGTAATTGAAACGATATGTTTGTTCCCACTGCTATTCACATCAGACATGTTTTGATTTACCTCTTCCTATCTCACACCACGATGAAGGATTCGGAAACTTTCTTGAAGAATGTGTACAACACACATGCCCCTCACTACAATACTATTCGCAATTGGTTCCATCGTTTCGAAAAAGATGACTTCTCGCTCGATGAAAAGGATCGCTCTGGGAGACCCCGTGAGTTGGATTTGGACAAGCTGAAGCACGCATTGCAATCGGATCCATTTCAATCTAGCCGTGAACTAGCTGTCACATTCGGAGTTCACCATAGCACAGTCCTTGAAGGTTTGAAGTCTCTTGGAATGAGAAAACTTTTTGGTCGATTCATACCTCATCACCTGACTCAAGCCAACCTTGACCGCCGAGTCGACGATTCGATTACTCTTCTCACTCTCCACGCGGGCGATCGATGGCTGGACCGGCTAATAACCGGAGATGAGAAGTGGGTCTTCTACGATAATCACCACAGGAAATCCCAGTGGGTTGGAGAAGGAGAGAGCCCACAGGATGTCCCAAAACCCGACCTTCATCCGAAAAAAGTTATGCTCTCTGTGTGGTGGGGAGTGGACGGCCCCATCTACTGGGAACTTCTGCCCGAGGGCAAAACAATAACTGGAGACCTCTACACTACTCAACTACGAAACCTCAAGAAAGCAGTCGACCGTTCGGCCCTGAAAGACAAGAAAGTGTACTATCAACATGATAACGCTCGCCCACATGTTTCGAAACAAGTGAAGCAGGAGCTGATGGGATATGGATGGAATGTTCTCCCTCACCCCCCGTATTCTCCTGATCTTGCTCCTTCCGACTATTGGTTATTTGGCGATATGACACGTGCCTTCGAAGGAAGAAGCTTCAATTCCCGTGGAGCGGTCGAAGCGGCACTCAAACAATACGTTGCCTCACGCCCGGCTGGATTCTACCGCAATGGAATCCATAAATTGAGGGAACGTTGGAGACATGTTGTTGATAATGATGGACAATATAATTAATTATTCGGTTATTTTTTCTTTGAGAAATAAACTATTGAAAAAGTGACAAAGACTTTCCCGCCAACCTAATATACTTTAAAGCAGCACTTGTGACAATAATCCGGATAATGTGAGAAACAAAGTTTTTGGGTTTGGCCCTTTAACCAATAATAGAAGGGCCCCCACTGTTTAACTAATTTATCTCGTTTCCTGAGAAAATTATCGTAAAACTGTCAACTGATCAAATGTTTGTGATATTACGATAAACAATTTGTCAGTTGACAACTTTTTGATATCTTTGACAAGTACTGAGAAAAATCAGCTCACAGTGAAAAATGAGAGGCCCTTCTATTAGAGTTTATCGGTAATCAGATTTCTCATGGAAAGACAATAATCTTGTGATTCAGCATGATTGAGCCAAATTTTAAGAAAAAAAGCCAAGGAATTTACTTCTGGGAAGAAGTATAATTCTTCACCTCCACCTCCACCCCCACCACGATGATCATCATCAGAATTCTCATTTTTCTCCTTTCTTGTAATCCATTCTAATCCGTCTGTATTCTTCTTCCATTTCCCTATTTTCCACTGGATTACCTCCATAGAAGTATTCTCTTTCTCTTATTTTGTCTGTCTTTTTTGAAATTCCCTCTCATCCAATTTATGTCCTATTCATTCTGGACGACGTGTTGACAAAATTCTTCATCGAATTTCGATTTTCTTTTCAAAAATCCATGTTTCTGTCTTCTTGCCCAGTTTGTGTACTATTTTCTTGAATTCAACAATACATTTCTAGTCCTATTGAACCACAATTTATTGTATTATAAAATTAGAAGATTCAAATTTGTTTTTTGAAGTGAGTGAGAGAAGAAAACCTAAAGGAAGAATACAGAATCTCAGAGTTCACATCCGGTGTCTCAAGGATCTGAAGAAGCAGAGAGGAAGGTTTTTCGACTTTTTGTGGAAAAAAAACGTTTTTTCGCTTTTTTTTTTTGCTTACCTGAAATCTTTCGCTATTTTTTTGGAGACAGGAAAAAGGCGGATGTAAGGTGGGCGACTTTCTCATTCTTATTTTTTTTTTGTCTCGCTGACCTTTGTTTCGAAATATTGAACAGATGAAAAATGTACAACTTTTTTGAGTTTTTTGTTTTCAACTCGGTGATGTTTTATCTTAAAAATGAGTCAGAACGAATTAAAATATTACTATTTTTGACTTGAATGATGATTTTTAAAAAGAAAGTAAAGTTATTTTGAAACGAGCAATAATATTTGCTTACTATTAATATAAAGATGACGAATCGTGATTGGGAAACTATTCAAACTGTTTTTTTAATCAGAAGGAACGTAAGTGATGTCATTTTCAGCTTTTAAGGAAAAAACCTGATTTGTAGGTCACATTTTTTATTGAATATTTTCTAGAACAAGATTGAACATTTTCACCTGTCTTTGGTTTTTCCACAGGCGTTTCTATATTTCTTCGGTTTTTTCACAGGCGTTTCTAGAATTGTCTTTGGCCTTAAGTTTTCGATATTGGATTGGAAAAACCCTGAAATGCAGTAAAACCTGTAAGGGCTCCCTATCTTTCGACTTTGAGCCATTTTTTCTCGGTAACTGTAAGAGATATCAACAAGTGATAAACTATTAAAACATTGGTGATAATATGATAGGCATTTTGACAGGTGACCAATTTTTGATAACTTTCACATTAAATGAGATATATTCGTTAAAGTTGACTGTATGGGGGCCCTTATATTACAGATTTTACGGTATTACTGGCCAAACAGATCCTTTGTGACGCACATTATCCGGGTTATTGTCACCAGTACTCCTCTAAAGTATAAATTGTTTGTTCTAAATTATAAACAACAAAGGATTATCCTATAAAATTTTGAATCCAAAGTTTGTAACAATTCACCTTGTGATATAGTTCAAAATCCGTTCGATAATTGAGCTCAAACTTGACTCTTTGGGGGCCGTTCTATAACGGGTTTCACGGTAACCATACAGAATTTTTAAGGCCCGCCCCTGTTCGGTCCGGGTTTTCAGTAATTTTTACTCCTGTCTTTTCAAAAAAATTTCCGGATCAATTAAAAAAACAAGAAAACTTTCTTTCAGGAAAAAAGGCCGCCGGGAAGGGAGTGTCATTTAAAAACTTTTTTCAGAAAAAAAATCTCAAATATGAAAAAGCCGGGCCGGACCCAAAAATTCCGGACTGATTTTTCAAGTATGGAAATAACGTTCTTCTCTATATATCAATCACTACAACACATAAACCATCTGTAGATGTCCAGAACTGAATCCATTTTTTCCTTTCTCCTGTCTTTTTTTTTCCTTTTTTCTCTAAAACTCCAGATGTCACACACTTTTTTCTCTTCCGAAATACCGAATTCTGTCCGCGTTTTTGATAGATAACCGCCGTTTCATTGTCATTCATATCCGACGAGACGAAACGAAATTTCACCCTGTTACCTCTTTTTTCCTTCTCATCCAAATATTCTCTTCATCTCTTTTATCGTTTTTTGAAAACAGTGTGCTTTGAATGTGTTCGACCAATTACAGTATTTGGCCATTGATACAATCAAATCAAGTTGTCAAACTTTGAAGTTCAACTGAGCGAGAATTTCGAATCGTGACGTCGAAATTGAATCTCTTTGTTCCTGACCAGTAACTTATCATTTAGTCTGACAGCTACTTATCAGTTCAACAACTGAGGCCAGGTTCTTAATGAAAAATGACCTCTAAACCATAAAACGGCCACTATCACTTCTTCTACTTTTTATTGCTGTGTTTTGTATAGGTCATGAAAAAAAGAAGACGTACCAAAAAAAAGCAAATATGAAAAATAAAGTACTTGTGTGTCGGGAAGTTGTACATTACACATTTCCTATTTCACATATGTACCACATCTTCATTCGCTTCTGGTTTTTGCAATTTCATGTCATAGCAAGTTGACTTCCGATTCGTTTCTTCCAATCCTCCACATCCGTTTTTTTCTTATTCCTCTATAGTTTCTCCTTCTGAAAGTGATTACACTTTTAATTCAAATCAGTTCATCTTGAAAAATGGATGAACTTATATTTTTCAGAGGAATGGCTCCTGATCGAAACTCATTTGATCGAGTGTTCAAGTTTGTGATACTGGGAGGAAAGTCGGTGGGTTCTTGATTTTTTTACCGTAAAACATGTATTAAAAATACTTCTTTAATAGAAGGGCCCCTTTGATAGAAGAGCCCTCCGAGAGGGGCTTGGAAAAATATAAACCCCTGTAATAGAAGGTTCCCCCTTAAAAATGTGTGGTTTAAAATTAAAAATTTCCGTACGTTTTCAGTTAAAATATTTCTGAAATTCCACGATATCACTGAAGTTTGTTTAAAAACACTTTTTTGGTCAAAATTGGACAATTTTGGTGAAATTGATAGATTTTCTTAAATTTTTAACGAGAATTTGTTGCATTTTATGATGAAACTTTTTTTGAAAGAATAACCGGAAAAATAGAATAGAAATAATAGAATAGATAATAGAACTGTGATAATAGAACTGTAATAAAAAGGCCCTCCGAGGTGCCATGGAACAATTGAAAGTCCGGCCCTTCTATAACAGATTGTACGGTAACTTTTCATTATCAAAGATCACACTAAATTAGGATAGATTTTCCAAAAGAAACCAATCTGAAACAGGAACTGCTCGACTGCCTTGTTTTTCAGAAGCAATTTTTCAGTTCAATTCACCCATTAAAAAAACTACTCGATTTTTGATTATCTTCTTTCAAAGTTAATTTGGATCTTTACACACAAAAACAAACCTGATGTTCATAGAATGTTTTACTAGTTAGTAGACAAACCGGTCTTTCAATTTCTTCAAAAGGGGTCCTACTATTTTTCCAAGCCCTTCTCGGATGGCCCTTCTTTTAGAGGGGCCTTTCTGATACAAGTTTTACGGTATCTCCGTTTTATAAATAAGTGCAAATTTTTAATTTTTATTTAGGTTGGAAAGAAAACCCTGCTCAGATCGTTTTGCACAGAAGGAGACGATGAAAGCATTTGGACAACTTTAACAGTAGATGAAGAGAAAGTATTGATTGAAGCAACTGTCACTCAGAAATGGGAAGAAGGAATGTCCCAAGAAAATGATGCAATTGCTCTAGTATTTTCTACTACCGATGTCTATGTAAGTATAGGTTTGACAACCTATTTTAATTTATTCGTTGGTTCCAGAGTTTCGAGTACACTCTCGAATTGTATAATGAGATTCAGAAGACAACAGAACGAATTCCATTGGTTTTCATTGAAAACAAAATGGACATTGTGGAGAATAGTCAGATGGAAAAATCTTTAGTTGAGGGAGAGATGAGGAAGAAACACAAACGATTGTATAGGTTGGTATTCAACGAAAAAAGTTGGAACTTCTTAAAATTTCAGAGTATCCGCAGAGAAAGAGTTCAATGTGATGCATCCATTTGCGTATTTGATTGAGAAGCTTACGAGACAAAAGAAAGATGTGAACGCAAATGAAAGGTGAATAATAATTTTGTTTTTTAACCACTAACTCTCAATTAAAATCTGAATTCAAAACTGAGAATAATTCAATTCAAAACATTTTCAGCGTTTCAGAAAACAGTCTTCGTCTGTAGCTTCATCAACAGCATCTCCACCATCTTCCACTGAAGCTTGGGGCGAACCGAATGCAGCCGATTCTAATGCTCTTTCTACGAATAAAAAATGCATCTTGATGTAGTCATTCTTTATATCTCTTTGTATGTTTTTTTTTTTTCTGAAAAGTTTCCAAATATTTGGGCGTTACGTTTTTGATCTCTAACAAGGGAAGGTTTTTTAGACAACGGTTGAGAATTTGCTCAAAATTAACATACTTATAGTTTAAGACATGCTCTATACGATGACAAAAAAAATTTTAGCCCGTTCTCACTCCCAGGCCGAAAATCTTTGTCTGAAAATTTGGGCCGATTTCGATGCGCTGGGGATTTCTGCTTCCCCTTCCCTCCTCTACCAATTCCGCGTGAGAGGAAAATATCGGTACCGAATATCGGTACCGGTTGTGTGGTGTTGTGGTAAGAGGGTGACTCATTAGGGTTGACTATACTGGTTCGACCCCCACTGTGGTAAGACTTTTTTGCATTTTTTGAAACTAATTTTTGATTCCAAGTTTGCCCCCCCTAGGCACTATATGACACTTTTTGATTACTTTCAAAAGTTTTCAAAGAGAAAAAAGATTTCATGAGAGTTTGAGGAAAAAGTAGATAATGGTCTTTTCGACCGGTTCTTACATCCTTGTATCGTTAAAAACGAAAATTTCAGTCTCTGAAAGTTCCTCAATTTTGCTCTTTTTGAGGTGGAGTACTGTCAAATCGATCACATACTAGATTCGAACCTATTTCTATAGGTTTCAGTTAAGTTCAAGCGATATTTCAGAAATTAGGAACTGTCAAAGTTCTAACAACAACCAGATTTCGGAGATTTTTTGAGCCCAAAGACAACATTGGGCTGAAAAAATTTGTCAGAATGATATTTTTATCGTTTCTGAATAATTGGAACGTTTTTTCGCACTTTTCAAAAAATTTTCAAAAAATCATTTTCAAAGTGTGGGGGGTGATTTTTTTTCAAAATTTTTCAAAAAAATTTTTTTTTTGAAAATGTTCAAAAGTTACTTTAGAAGATAGAAAAATGTCCAAAAATGAGTTTCGCACTCAAGCAAATCCTGAAAAACTAATTTTTAACCTCGAAAAATGCATGTTTTTGGCCAAAATTTAGTACTAAAAGCACTTTCAGAGGCCATATTTCGGCTCCTTTTGAGAACGGGCTAAAATTTTTTTTGGATTCGGATTCAGAATGTTCGAAAGTACCTTTGTACAAATTTTGAGCAAATTCTCAACCGTTGTCTGAAAAACCTTCCCTTGAAAGTTTAGTCTCTGATGTAACTCGTGAAAAACAATAAATCTTTCGAAATGGGTCTATTCTGTTGAATTGATGAGGGCTGTGGAGCTATTCAGGGTAGCCAAATCATGTTCTCCTTCTTTGAAATTCTTTTTTTCAGAAAAAAAATTTGCTGAAGAGTTTCTTTGTCAATTTTTCAACTTTTAGCTGAAAACTTGTCCTTGGTTTTGCGATTTCTAAACTTTTTTTTTGGTTCAGTCAACATGAATGTCGAATATTGAGAAACATTCAACTGATGTTGGCTTTGACTAGCAGAGTGAAAAGTGGAGGCTGTTTAGAGTGTAAACTAAATTTAAACACCCGCTTATGCACGAGAAAAGCGCCAAGCTTTCTGCATCTGTGTCAACAACAAACGGATGACGCGATGCCATTTTTTCCTATTTTTCGACTTCCACGATTTAAATTTATTCTTTTTAGCTGATGATCTCTTTTGTACTCTTTTCTCTCTTACAATAGAACGATTCCAGAATAATCAACTGGTAACAAAACCCGACGAAAATGATGGCTGCACGACTCCTTGGCACCTCTTCAAGAATTGCAAAGTTTAGTAGACATTTTCATACGGCTAAAGGTTTGACTTGAAGCATTTTAAGAATTAAAAATGAATTTCCAGCTGCGTTCTTGCCAGTCGTGCAGTTCAAGTTGTCAGATATTGGAGAAGGAATTGCTGAAGTCCAAGTTAAAGAATGGTTCGTTTCCTACAGTAATCCCTGTAGACACTCCAAAGTGTACTATTCTCTAAACTTTCCGATTTTTCCAGGTATGTCAAGGAAGGAGACACTATTTCGCAGTTCGACAAAGTCTGTGAAGTTCAAAGTGACAAGGCTGCTGTCACCATTTCCAGCAGATACGATGGAATCGTCAGAAAACTGTAAGTTGTATCCCAGAAATTTCGTTTGTTTTGATCTTTGGTATTTTGTACCTTTCAAATGTCTTCCTAGTGTCAAAAGTAGCAACGCACGTGGCGCTTCGGTTTGCACAAGTCTGTCTCCGTCTCTTCTCTCTGATCATGATGATTGACAAAGATAAGATCACTGATCACAAGAAGCGAGAGAGGGAGAGGGAGACAAAAAGCTAGCCGAGATAGTGTTGGAACAATAAAATATAATAGTTTTTCTTGCAAAGTTTTTATCAAAAAATTACAAAAATTGCATCTAAACAAATGAAAAATCCTATAAAAACATTCTTCAGATACCACGATGTCGATGGAATGGCTCGCGTCGGACAAGCTCTGATTGATGTCGAAGTAGAGGGAAACGTAGAGGAAGATGAGAGTGAGTTTCTGTCCTTCTTTGAAAAAAGTTTGTATTGTTCAAGCAACCTGAAAAATACGTGATGTTCCGGTCTTTAAATCTGATATAATTTACCATTCTATTTCAAATCCTATTTTGTAAATGCCATCTTGATCTTTCTGATGGAAAAAAAAAGATACACACCCATAGATTTCCCATGGGAGTCGCTACTTGCTCTTAGTCTAATTGAAATTTTCGTCTCTTTACTCGTTTTTTAGAGCCAAAGAAAGAAGAGAAAAAAGGAGCCGTTACATCAACTCCACAAGCTTCTAAGGAATCAGCCACCTCGGCTTCCGAGTCATCTGCATCCGATGGAAAGGTTCTTGCCACTCCCGCAGTTCGTAGACTTGCTATGGAGAACAAAGTCAAGTTGTCAAGTGTCCGGGGCAGTGGAAAGGAAGGAAGAGTGTTGAAGGAAGATGTTCTTAAATTCCTCGGACAAGTTCCTGCTGGTAATCGTTCAACTAATATCAGAAACAATCATAAATTTTTTTCAGATCATTCATCTGGATCAACTAACATTCGTACCACCCATCAAGCTCCACTTCCAGCGGCTAAATCGGTATGATGCTGCTATGCAGAAAACAAGTTTCTAACTGCTGATTATTTTTTAGTATGAAGCGCTTAAGGAAGATGTGGCTGTTCCAATCCGTGGATACACTCGCGCTATGATCAAAACGATGACCGAAGCGTTGAAGATTCCTCACTTTGGATATAACGATGAGATTAATGTTGATGCTCTTGTGAAACTTCGCGGAGAGTTGAAAGATTTCGCCAAAGAGCGTCATGTGAAACTGAGCTACATGCCATTCTTCATCAAAGCAGCGTCCTTGGCTTTGTTTGAGTTCCCAGGACTCAACGCAACGACCGATGATAAATTGGAGAATATAATCCATAAGGTTAGCACATCAATTATGGTGAATACCCAAAAATTAATTCTTAAGGCCTCACACAATATTTGCTTGGCTATGGACACTCCAGGAGGTCTTGTTGTTCCAAACATCAAAAACTGTGAGCAGCGCAGCATTTTCGAAATCGCCCAAGAAATCACACGACTGATGGAAGCTGGAAAGAGACAACAAATCGGAAGAGAAGATTTGGTCGGAGGAACATTTACTTTGAGTAATATTGGAGCTGTAAGTTCTAAAAAAGTTACTAAAGGTACGAAAAATACGAAAGTTGAAGATTGGTGGAACATACGCATCTCCGGTGATCTTCCCTCCACAAGTTGCCATTGGAGCCATTGGAGCAATCGAAAGACTTCCAAGATTTGATAAACATGATAATGTACAGTTGAATATCAATTGTTTTCTTGAAATTTATTTATTCCAGGTTATCGCTGCTAATGTGATCAAGGTTTCATGGTGTGCAGACCATCGTGTCGTGGACGGAGCAACCATGGCCCGCTTCGGCAACCGCTGGAAGTTCTACCTGGAGCACCCATCGGCAATGCTCGCTCAACTCAAGTAGATATCATCACTAATAACATGTTTTTATTGAGTCAAACTTATTAGGTGCCTATTTATCCCCTTGATGTTCACATTCCCCTTTTTTGTTTACACCTTCGACCCTCCTTTTTCCTCCGCGGTGCCTTTATAGAGCATACTGTAGACAACGATTGCATTTTCGGTCCTGTTCGCATGAAATTAGTTCCGCCCTCTTCATTTTTCTTGTGCCATTTGTACTTGTTTGACGTAGAACGATAGCACATAATCATTTTTCGTGTAGAATAAAGAGATTTCAATTATAGGTCAATTTCGTGAAATTTATTTACAGATCTATACAAAGTGGGTTATCTAGTAAATGATCTTCTTTGGACAATGAATCGGACGCGGATCAATGAAGCGGTCACATAGAAACTGCCATAAATCTTCTTCAGCTTCCTTATAACGTTTGCCATTGATTAAAATCCATGGAGCCCAATCCATTTCTGGAGCCATTTGGGCCACAAAGTTTTCATGGTCACTGAATAGTTTTCTTCCGTGTCGACTGTCAGCACAGCTCATCATTCTGGAATCGTTTTTTTTTTTGGAATAGAAAGTTTCAGTTATTATTTTGGTTCAAAAAATCGGAGCTACGGAAGATAAACCCGCCGTGGCCGGAGGTCCCACAGCGACAACTACCGTAACCAAAAATAGTTTTATTTTCAGGATTATTTTCTCCTTGTTTACAGTTTTTCGTCGAATTTTTGTTGTTTTCTCCCGAAAAATGTCGGAAAGTAAAACATTTTGATAGTGAAAAGAACTTGCTGAAAACGCACGAAAATCGAGATAATAAATCCAGAAAATTAACATATTTTTGGGTTACGTTAGTTGTCGCTTTGAATCTCCGGCCACGGCCACTGGAGTTTATCTTCCACATCTCCAACTTTCTTGTACGAGATAATAACACACTTTGCCCTTTCTAATTTTGATGGTTCATTGAAGCACGCTTCCGCAGCCATGCTTATATTCTGTTTTCCTTGAATGCATGTAACTGAAAAATAGTGAATGTTTGTAAAATTTTTAAACATCTTTCAAAAACTTACCAACTTCCATATACTCTTCGAAATTGGGAAGTGCTTCTATGACACAAGCCTGAAGCTGATTGAGAAGGCATTCTCGTGCTCCATGATGGCATTCACAACTGAAACTACTTTCATGAAATTCAGATCTCATTTTCTGAAGACTAACACAACATCATCTCCAGAATCCGAATCAACACAAGTTGTCTTAATTCCGTATGGATGGTATTCGAAGTTTATTCTTCCTGTTGAACCCAACATTCTCCACATTGGAAGCCAATGCCATTTCATCCAACTGAGAAAAAAAAAGATTTCTAGACGATTCAGTAACTTTCTGAAATTTCCGTTCAAACTAAGTTAGACCGACTAAATTAGATATGATAGAACACGATTAGTACTACAAAATTATACTGATTGGAGAACTGTATCTTGTCTATGAATAAAGTCCCGGTCTTGGTGGCCCATCCCGGCCACTTTACGGCTTGTAACTTTGTTCATAGACAAGGTGCGTTTTCCAAATTGGTTCAAAAATATTCATTCTTCAAAAATCTATGTTAGAGAACGGTTTACAAGTATTACTCAAACTAATAAACTCACAATGAAGTATCCGAGCATCGTCCTTCACCGAATGCAACAATATTCACTTTCTCTCCATTATTTACTTCAGTGTCTTTCGAAGAACATAATACCAGAATAAATAGGAAAGAATAATAAACGAATAAAGTTCTTATTATCGTCATTTCTGTGATACCAATCGTCTAAAAGAAGTTGGTGTTCTTTTCTTTTTATATCAGAGGAAAATCAGAGGTCATGCGTTACGAAGTTTATAAAACGATTAGATTTGAAGTGGACGGGTGGAACCGAATTTCTTTGAAAAAAAAACAATCACGTCTTCTGAATTGTGTCTCCACTACTGAATTTACGAAGAAAAAAAACAGAAGAAGAGAATAAGAGGAATTAGTCGAATTACTGGTTTTGAAGTTTGAAAAAGAAGAGTATAATAGGAGAAGAGTGGACCAGAAATCGGTAAAGAAATTAATAGAAAATAACAAAAAGTTGAGAGACAAGAAAGATAATATATGAAAAATGAGAAGGAATGAATCAGCTGACAAAAATGCGGTGGATAAAACGTCATAGATTATACATGGAAGGATTGAAATAGAATTGGAAAAAATGTAACTGATGATCAGGAGTAGATCATATTTTTATGAAATGGGGTCGATTTTGGATGGAAGATTTCTGATAAAAGAAATGACAGAAAAGGTTGAAACATTGAAAAAATGTGTGAATTAGTAATAGTCTCCGTAAAAGCCTGAAGTTTTAAGTAATCTAAATCTTCTAAACATCATCTAAATCACTTCAGATGATTGATTTCCATAAGTACCTTTTCACTGATAGAAAGTTATATTATTATAGTTATTTCATATTTATAGTTATTTCATTTTTTTGAATCTTTGATTAAACCATTTTATCTCGGTTCCTGTCAAAGATGTAAAAAAGTTGCCAACTTATTTATCATAATACCACAAACGTTTTACCAGTTGACACAGTTTTGACGTTCAGTGGAAAATTCCACAAAAAATAACAATGAGCAGCAAATAAACGTAGGACAGGTTCATACATTCTGAAATTTATTTTTTAACATTCTGGATTTTTTTTTCGGATTTTCGGATTTTTTTTTGAATTATCGAATTTCAGTTTTTCTTTCAATTTTTTTTGAACATTTAAACAACTTTAGAATCTTATAATCTCGGAATTTTAAAATTTCAGAATTTCAAAAATGCAGAATTTGTGAATTTGGGAATATCTGAATATCTGAATATCTGAATTTCTGAATTTCTGAATCTCAGGACCTCAGAATTTAAAACTTCCGGAATCTCATGATTTTAAAATTTCAAAATGCCAGAATCTCGTATTTCAGAATTTCCGAATTTCGGAATTTCAGATTTTCAGATTTTCAAAATTTCAGAATTTCCGAATTACAAATTGTCAGGATCTCAGGAATTCAGAATCTCTGGATTTCTGAATCTCAGGAGAGAGTTTAAGGGGGGGGGGGGGGGGGGTAGTATTAACATAGTTTGTAGTTTGTAGTCTCGGGCCACCCCCTATGGGGGTCAGTATTAGCATCTCGGATGTCGCCAGCAACTTCTGGTTGGATCTTAGTCGGCTTCTGGGCGCTGCTTGGTCGTATTATGGACAAGACCGCTACTAAAGCCGACCAAGCTCCGAAAAACTTCCGACCAAATTCTGACCTCATTACAGAAGGGGCCGGGTTCGGTTCGCACTATTGATTATTTTTCAAAGCAACACTGCACTTGGTATCAACAATAATTTATTACAAGTAAAATTCATCACGGAAAAAAACATTAAAAAAATTACAAGAAAACGAGCGAAAGTTAGAACATTAAATTTTGATGTTATCGAAGATCCTTTTTTGTGTTGACTTGGATGTGGAGAAAGGTGTCGAGAAGTGTGTTGACGTGTCGCTGCCTGAAATCGGAAAATAATTAACTTTTAATTCAGAAAATATTAGGTTGTTCGGAAAGTCCTTTCCACTTTTGATATAAGAAGTAGCGATTTTCAAAATTTTTAATTCTCGAAGGAATAAACAAAAATGATCCAAATTTCTGTAATTCGTCACACAAAATACTAAACTACTGATAAATGTCATAATCGATGTGTTTTTGTCCAGAAATACTTCATTTCAACGCAATCATGAAAAATATGGTTTTAATTACATTATTTCTGTTGATTTTCAATTTTGCGAAAAGTTACGTGATGCACAGAAATTGAAGGCTTCGAATCCTGGGAATTTGGAAATTTTACGTGATTCACAGAAATTGAACGTTGCAATTTCTGGGATTTTTCACAGAACTCGAACGGTTCGAGTTCTGGGATTTTGGAAATTCACGTGATTCACAGAACTCGAAGCTTTCAATTTCTGGGATTCTGGAAAAGCATGGGGGGGGGGGGGTAGGGATTCAAGAAGGGTCGTGATAAAGCAAAATGAATATTAGCAAATTATCCTTGGACTTGTTGTTTTCCATAAAACGGATCCTTCGAGCTCAAAGATAATTGTTTTCCATGGGAGCTCTATGTTGGCTGAAAAACTAGTTGAAAATTCTGAATCGTATTTGAAGGGTTGAAGTAAAAAAACATTTTTATTCGAAACTTACTATTTTCACATACAGTACTTTAGGATGAAATTGGTTGAGATGGTGGAAAAATGTTGTTCAAAAGCTATAAAAGATTCCACTTGGTGTTTTGAAAAACTGGCAACACTGATTTTTAATGATTTACCGTCGAAGAAAACAGAATTTCCACTATCTCGATCAATTTCATTTAAAAGTACTGTGACAAAGGTAAGTTTTAAGCTTTGTATTTATATTTTTACTTCAACCCTTCCAATGCGACTCAGAATTTTCATCTAGTTTTTCAGCCAACAGAGAGCTCACATCGAAAAATTATCTTCAAGCTCGAAGGATCCGTTTTATGGAAAACAACAAGTCCAACGATAGTTTCCTAATATTCATTTTGCTTTATCACGACCCTTCTTGAATCCCTACCCCCCCCCCCATGCTTTTCCAGAATCCCAGAAATTGAAAGCTTCGAGTTCTGTGAATCACGTGAATTTCCAAAATCCCAGAACTCGAACCGTTCGAGTTCTGTGAAAAATCCCAGAAATTGCAACGTTCAATTTCTGTGAATCACGTAAAATTTCCAAATTCCCAGAATTCGAAGCCTTCAATTTCTGTGCATCAAGTGTTCTTTTTTATCACCGAATAAATATATATTTGTGTATCGAAAAAATTCTATTGCAAGTACAGGAAATACTACTCGAAAAGGCTTTATCGTTTTTGATGTAAATTTGAACATTTTTTTCGCTCAGCAAAGAAAATGCGAAATTACTGAAACTTCGCAGAATTTTTGGAAATCGAAGTGATTTGGGATGAAAATTGAAAATTTTGAAAATCGCTCCTTCTTATATGTTGTTTTCAAACTTCGTTTTCTTGAAGGGGGTAAAAGCGAGGAAGTTATCGTTTTATCAGTATGCTGGTGAGGTCTAATAGTGTCTGCACCCCAGCGGAGATCATTCTCCTCTTTTCGTGCAGTGAGATATGCCCACCGTTTTCGCCTCTAATAATTTCCATTTTTGGACTACCATTTTATTTGTATTTCTATCTGACCTCAGATCAACTGAAATCAATCACCAATTTGTGGAGGTTAACAACGAAGATGCACCCTTTCGAACAAACTTCACAACCTGGATTCATCAATTTGAAAAATGAAAATTCTCGTTGGACGAAAATCCCCCTCCAAAAAAGCATACGGGCTCAGATTTGGACGCATTAAAAACCAGGATTGAAAGGGACCCGTCTCAAACTGTGCAGGATATATAAAGTACATCAGTGGCAAGCCTTTCGTCAAAAAACCATAAATTGGGAACTCTCGACAAAGTAAAAAAAAAGTGGGAAGATATGGATCCCACCTTTTCGCTCAAAGCAACTTTGTTTCATGTGTGGGCACCTGTTTGAATCTTCTCATCCTGCGTTGCACACATGAATGTTGAAGTTAAATCATTACTAGTGGCGATAAATGGGTAATGTATGATTAATATAAACAACAATCCAAGCGGGTTGACAAAGGCACTCAACCACAAGACGTCTCGAAACGTGAAATTAACGTTAAAAATGGGATGTTTTCGGCTACCAAGGAGTGGAGTATTGGGAGCTGCCAGATAATGGTGTCACTTTTATGACCGATACCTCACTGGATACGGCTAAACGGTTCTGTCTTATCTAAAGTATAGTCCAAACCTTGTACTGTCTGACTACCCCCTATCCAGCCATTTTTACCGACATCTTGATTGAAAAAAATTCACTTCAAAGCATGATATCAAAAATGGGTTGACCTGATTTTCAATGCGCTGTGACCGGAGTTCTGGAAGGAAGGTATCCACAATTTGGTGGGACGTTGGCAGATAGTCACTGATAACAATGGTCACTATCTTCAATTTATCTGACATCGTTTTGACTTTTTTTATATCGAACGAAACTGGCGCTAAAAATGGAAAGGACTTTCCGAACAACATAATAGAAATACCGTAAAAACTGTAAAATAACGCCACATGTATTAGAAGACCCCCTCTATTACAGCGTCACCCTTAAAGGACGTTTACAGGTAGCAAAACAAAGCTTTTATGCTCGATTAACACAGTAGTAGTGGAATCTACTAATTTCGCACCATGTTTTCCTTTTTTTTAAATAAGCCTTTTAAATAAGCAAAAAATCAGTTTTTGTTACCTCGCATCAACCCAAAATACCCCTTTGAAAAATAGAACGCCATGGCGTTATATTACAGGTTTTACGGTATACCTGGCTAACATTTAGATTCTCTTCCCAGTTTTCCGGCTTCGCGTCACCGTTTAGAAGACCCGTTTAGAAGTGACGCGTAGCCAATTTTTATTAAAGATTGGGAATTGTCTTTTGAATTCTTTGAAAATCCTTTGGAATCTTCCTTCCCTTCCTAAGTGGATCCTAGATTTTGAACACAGGTAAAATACGGGCAGTTTCGCGAATCTGAGTTCGCGAACGGATCCGTTTTTGCAACATTCGCAATCGGACAGGATACGGAGTTCGCGAACGGACCGGATACGGATGCAGCTGGAGGTCGAGAGATAGCTCCCATGCCCATTCGCGAACGGATCCGTTCCGGATGGCCGAGTTGTGAGAGACTAGCTTTCTCTTACCTCTTCCATCATATTTTTGCATCATTTATTTGCATTTTAAACCTATTTTTGCCGTTTTCTCTCACTTTTCCTGGCAAATATGTTGATTTTTGACAATGATTTTTTTTCGAAAGACGATTCTACAAGGAAAAAAGGTTTGTAACACAAATTTATTCTTCGAAACACAGGTTTTGTTATAGGTATCACTTAACCTTTTCGTGAGCAAAATGACCGAAAATGATTGATTCGAAGCTCGCGTTTGCTCCAGGAAAGATGCTTGACGAATGTAAGTATAAAATACGCTAATTTTCGAAACAATGACTTTTCCACTTTTCAGCAATGGACATCTATAGAGCAAGCCGATTCCAACGTTAAAAACGAGAAAAACATTGGAACCCAAAAGCAAAAAAGGGTATAAGTAATAGGTGATCAGTATGCTACATGTGCTGAAAGATTCCCAAATTTTTTGCAGGTCTCTTTTCGTTTTGGATGGTCGTTCAACAACCCAAAAAAGCAGGATTTTGATAAATTTTCGAACTTAATGTTGTACTTCTGATGTTTTTTCTTTCTTTTACATGTTGTCCTAATAAATTGTTGAATACAATGTATACAACTATCATGAAAACTCAGCAAAAAATAATAGAAACTGAAATAGGAACGGCGGGGGTTTTCAAGAAAAAAGTTGCAAACGGATCCGTTACGGATTCGCGTACGGTCCGTATACGAGTCATATTTCATCCGCGTGCGAATGACGGAGAATCCGTAACGGATTGTTCGCGAATCACCTGTGAATGATTTCCTTAACAGGTATTTGCAATCTGCAGGCTGAGTTTCGGAACTCCACTTTCAATAATTCCACCTCTCAAGTGGTTCACCATATCGGTCAGGCGGACGACATGGTTGAAAAGAGCCAAGTAGTCATCGTAGGCGACAAATTTCGGGGGCTCCATAGTATCCACAACTTCAGACCGAAGCCTTTTCTTGCAATTAGCAGCCATTGGGCCGCCGAAAATTCAATAAATAGAGAGTAAAAGGAGAGGTCACCGCTCGCTGGGGATACCTCCTCTTTCTTTCACCTCCTCTGCCTCTGAGAAGACGATGGAGTGGAAATCTTGCTTCATATATACCAAAAGAGAGAATGAAAAAGAGGGAAAAAGTACAGTATTCCGGGAAAAATTGAAAGATTGGTCAAAATGAACATCAGCGTAAAATTTCCGAAAAAAAATGAGTATAATATCATAGGGATTGGAGATAATTAATTTTTGAGGATGCGCCATTACGGTAGGCGGCGTCATCAAAGGGAGCTCCTTAACAGGCGTTAAAGTCACAGAATTTTAAAATTTCAAATTTTCAGAATCTCTGTATTTCAGAAACTCAGGCATTCAACGTTTCAGACTCTGAGAATCCTCTTGAGAGTTTCATAATTTCACAATTTCGAAATTTCAGAATTCAAGAGTTTTAGAATCTCAGGATTTCAGAATTTCAAATTTTCAGAATCTCAGGATTTTAAAATTTCAAATTGTCAGAATCTTGGGTTTCAGAATCTCAGAATCTAAGGATTTCAAAATCTCAAGATTTCAAAATCTCAGAATTTCAGAATTTCAGAATTGTAGAATTTCAGTATATCAGAATCTCAGGATTCCGGAATCCCAGAATCTCAGGATTTAAGAATCTCTGGATTTCAGAATATCAGAAAAGAGACTCAAAGTTCAATCGGAAAGTTTCAATCATGACCAATTTTCGAGTTTTTTGAAATTTTTGGAATATCATCATGTGGAGCAATGTACTGGTAAAATTTGAACGCATTCTTATTGGACAGCAAACAATATTCCCCCTAATCTGAGCTTTGGTCAAGAAAAACTTCAAAGTCTGAAATTTCAACAAAATGATTTGTATTTCATCCTTTTTTGATTCTTTTCCAGTCACACACAATATATTTCATCTTTTATGGCTGGGAAAGACCTGAACAGCTCTTGTTCCCAATCGGCACGTAACCATACTTACCTTCTTTCATGTTCTTTGTGCTGTACGTATGTGCCACGTCTATAGGTCAGAAACAAGCTCAGAGCAAAGTTTGACAGGTAGCCCATGCACAGTCCTAACCTGATCTTTACCAGTTTGTCCTAGAGAGAAAACCAATCATAAAGGTAAACATGTTAGCCTATAAAAATACAAACAAAAGTAGTTAGTTTGTTCTATAGGTTCTCTCCTAGAGTCTCCAATAAAATATAGTTTGAATGCCTCTGTATTTCCCCCAAGATCTCAATATCTATTCATTCCTATCCGACTCATTTTCCAATGAATCATTTCAAGCCCACAAAAGTGTCAAAGTCGCCTTCGATAAACATGTTCTTGTTTTGGTTTCTTTTATTATCTTTATTTACTTTCCTTTCTTCTTCCTCCTCTTGTTCCAGAGAAAACCCTTTACTATTTAATGGGTTGACTGGTTCAGATAGCATATCTTATCAGGTATTTCCCGACTGTATCAGACATCCGATCAATAGAATCTTCTTATCACTTTTCTTTTCGTTTTCCTTGAACACTAGTTTCCGTCACTGACCTCGTCCTTCCACTCATATCCGTTTTTGTTTCTTTTCCTACCTCTCGCTACCCTGCCGAAAAATTTCTGATTTTGTTTAAATTTTACAGAACAAAATGATGCCAAGGTTATCAACTCAGCTGATCATTGCATTAGTCTTTATTCCCACTGCCCTGGGACAAAATCTTCTGGAAATCTATAAAGCCATGATGAATGATCAAGCGGCTCGAGCTAAAACTCCTCCAATCAATATCGAATTCTTTGGAGAAAGTTTGTGTCCAGATACAACGAGGTAACCTTTTTAAACAACCTACAGGATCATGGATGTTCGGAATGACCTTTTGGGAATTTTTCGGAATGTCGAAAATTTCGATTTTGAAACGTTCGGATTTTCGGAATCTCGGAATTTTCCGATTTTGAAAAATTCGGAATTCCGAATTCCGTTTTAAGCATCTCTGCTTTCGGACATTAGAACGATCAGAAACCAAGATCCAATCTTACAGATACTTCCGGAACCATATCATGCCCGTTTGGACAGCCTTGCAAGCATCCTCACTTGTCAATGTCACTTATCACCCATTCGGATTGGCGGAATGTAGACGAAAAGACGGTGTCGTAAGGTAGGTTTCTTGGTTTTGCAGAATTATGTACTTTGGGATGGTTCTCTCAATTTTTGTGATCTCTGTTCTAGATGTACTTGCCAACACGGACCCGCAGAATGTCAATTAAATATGCTACAGGCCTGTGTCATCAGTGCTCTTGAATTCCCTCAACTTTATCTTCCAATTGGTGAGTACTTGAGCAAAAAATCAAAACTGTTTCGACGATCAGCGAGAACCACTCGAAACCCTATAATCGAATCAACTTTTTTAGTGAACTGTATGCAAGGAAAAAGTCAATTTGCCTCTGCCATCGACGACTGCATTGTGAATTTCCGGCCGAGACCAGATCTCGATGAAAATTTGTAGGTTCTATCAATCTACAAGGAAGTGGGGAAGAACGTTTGGGACCTAGAGAAAAAAAAAGAGAAAAATCTTGCAAAACTCAAAAAGAACCAATTTTCTAGCTCGTCTAGAAGCCGAGATACAGTCATATGTAGCTTTGGAGGTGAGAGACGCAGACGACAAAACACTCTAACTGCCTGAGTCTCTCCTAAAATTTAAACGTCTCTATCCCGGCTGCCAGACGAACTAGAAGCTTGATTTTAAGATAATTTTGAAGCATTTGCAGCATATTTTTTAGAATTTTAACAAAAAAAAAGATTTTCCGAATGTCTAGCTTTTCTGAAATACGAAAAAATAAGCTTCAGATCTTCCGAAAATGTTTCGGTATAATTGCAATTGAAAAATTCCCGAAGCTTAACTAATAAGTAAATGACGACTGGTATTTCAAAAGCAAGTGTTTACAGTATGACCCGATGCGCTCAAAGTCAACTCGGAGCAAAACTAATGATGCAACATGGATACAGACAACGAGAGGTCGCTCCAGAACTTGATTGGGTCCCTTGGATCCTCGTGAACGGAAGACGATCCCAAGCTGCTGAAAACCAGCTGAAAACTATAATTTGCTCATTCCCGGAACCTTCTCGTTACCAATACTGTAAAACGAGTGAGGAATTTATTATTTCTAAATGATAAGTTCTGATCTTTGTTCTTTTTTTTTTGACCATTCATATTACTGTTGTTCTAATAAAACATCTCTCTGGTTGTCCTGGAAAATTAAACAATAGTATTTTATTGTTTTATAAAAGTCAATTTAAAAAAAAAGGAATGAGATGAGTGAAGACGTGAATAACAAACCAGTAGGAAGACGTCGAGATCAATGAAATGAAAGAGCTTGTACTCAACAACTAATCAGGTCAACGAAATCAATCAAAACTTTGGTAAATTCTTGGGTCCATTCGCTAGATTCTCTAAATCGGCAAATGAGAGTTTCGAAGTGGTGGACACAGAAACATCTCGTTCGTTTAGATGATCTAAAACACGAAAAAATCAGTTATCGCATCAGATCCCTCATCTTCCCACTTCCTGGTACTGCTTGCACTTGCATCGCGTCCACGTTGAACTTCAGTTTTCGAAGATGTTGTCGTTGCGGATGATTTGATAATTTTGATGATGCACTTGTGTGTAGTAGCTGAAAAATGAGGCAGATTGAATGATATGACATAATGGAAAACGAACATGAATCTCGTCATCCAAACTTTCCACATAGACAGGCGGCACTTGATTGTGTAAATCATCCACAATCAACATGGAAACTTCTAAATTTCTCTCCAAAATATAGTTGAACTCAAAATCTTCGTCATCAGCACCGAATGGAAACATGAGATCCTCTCCCACTTTCAACCATCCCACATAGAATAAAAACTGAAGAATTGTGAATATTGGAACGTATCTGGAATAATAATTTTTTTAAAAAGTATGAGTGTCAGAAGCTTACACATCCACAATCTCTTCGTTTTCATTCTTGCTTGGGTACTGTCGTCCGATAAGTGCAAACAGGAAATAACCGTAGACAGAAATCGTGGAGACCTGGAAATTTCAAGTTGAATTTTAGATGACCGGTGTTGGTATAACTGAAAAATAGTTTTTCGAGAGCGAGGACTTTGTATAGACAAAAACTTCGAGACGAACTTGTTTTGAGAGTTGCATTCCATTATTTCTACATACCTTAATGCCTGTATTAGAAGGGCCGGCCCTTCTATTAGAGGGTTCCTTCAATTATAGCCTTCTCTTCAAGCAAAAAAGAGTGTTTCAGCGTATTTTTTTCACTGAAAACGTAAGGAAGTGTTTAATTTGAAAGTCTTTCTATTTTTCCGAACCCTCTCGGAGGGCTCATACCGTGAAACCAGTAATAGAAGAGTCCCGTAACTTGTAACTTTGAGCCAATTTTTCGCGATTCCTGTTAAAGATATGAAGAAGTTGTCAATTGACAAAATTTTTATCATAATGCCACAAACATTTAATCAGTTGACCACTTTTTGATATCTTGCATAGGAGCCAAGAAAAATCAGCTAAAACTTAACACTGTAAGAGACCTTGTATTACAGGTTTTTTTTCGTATATTAGAGATGCCCTTCTATTAAAAAGACCCTTCTCATACAGGATTTACGGTAAATTAATCTACAGCTATCACGTCACCGCACATCTCATGCCAGGTACAAAAAGGGAAGACAGACGAGTTGTGCTCAGAAAGTGAATGGAGAGAGGAGAAGTAAAAAGAGAAAAAATAGAGAGAATTAGAGAGATAAAGTTAGGTTTTCCGGAATGTAATCGATATTTTTGAACATAGTTTCAAAAGAAGTTTATTCAACGTTCAAAATATTTCGATAAGTAATATATTCTCCGTCATGTTCCATCACATCCTGCTAACATTTGCTAGATGTTTGAAGCCTCTCGCCTAGAACTCGGGTGGATGCTGCACGAAGAAAACATCGATATATCTTCTAACGAAGCGCTTACCCTGTAACCCGTCTAAAGCGAGCGGAGTAAATAAAATTCTGTTAGAGTGAGATCTGGACTATATAATGAATAACCGAGTATTTTGATACCTAAACCTTGCATTTTTTGGCGAGTGGCCAAAGTCATGTGCAGGCGCGCATTACCGTGAAGTAGAACAAATGTGTCTCCTTCTGGACGCAGAGCACGATACATATTGAATACTTTTTGCAGTTAGAAACAGCATGTGTCCGTAGTTATGATCGCACAATTGGGAGGAAGTTCTCTATAGATCACACGTGACAATACCACCAAACGCTCAACATCTCCCTTTTTTCACGAGTTTCTCCTTTGTGATTGATTTCTGGAGTATGGCAAACCATGACCCATTGACGCTTTCTGTTTTCTTTAACCTACAGACACCCTTCAACGTTTCCTGAAACAAGATAATAGATCCCATCGAAGTTTCGCTTACGAGTGAGCAAAGACCAACTCAAGTCACAACTAGTTTCAACCTGGGAATCACTCAAATGGTGTGGCACCAGTTGTATCATATTTTTCTCTGTGTCCGGAACTTCCGAGCGGATGAAATACAGTTGTAATAGGTTGACCGAGAGTGGGACGCACTTCAGGAACAGTGAGTCTCGGATCAGCTTCTAACCCTTTCTGGAAATGGGCATCGAAACTCGAAAATGGGTTGGTTTGCGTTCAAGTGAATAATTGCCGTTCCGAAGGCTATTGAACCAATATCTCCATGCAGTATACTAAATTGACTTGATCCCAACTATGGACCATATTTTTCGATGAGCAGCGGTAGCGGATTCTTATTTGAGAAACTCGAAAATAAGAGAGCCTTAAAATCATGGGTTTCGTTGGCGATGCTCTCCACCATGGACTGAGATTTTTTGAAACAAACTGGTAATTTTCAATGAACATGAGTTGAACATTATTAAAATAAAAAAGAAAACGAAAATCGATCGGTGAGAATGGATAAAGTGCTCGTTAAAAAAATATCGATTACTTTCCGGACAACCTAATATATCGTTTTTTCAGATATATTTATTGTTTCACAGCACGACTACGATTTTCTGGATTGTCTGTTCCTGCGCACCTGGCAATAGACGAGCGGTATGCATATCCAATCGTAAAGAAACACACTGGCGATTCTCTGTCGATACTCTTCCAGTTTTCTCGTCAGCATTTGCAGTGACGTCATGAAATTAAGAATACGTTTTTCTCAGTTTTATCTCAATCTAAATACAGCTCTGTTCAAGTTGCTCATTTAACTGTTCTAGTTTTTTTTGTTTTCAGATTTAGATTTCGATTCAAACATTGACATAACCTGTGTATACACTAGCGGAATGGCAATCCAATCGTAAATGAACAACTGAAAAAAACCGTTTCGATACTTTTCCAGTGCATCCAGGAGGACTCGAAGTTCGTTCGTATGCGTCAGCGTTCCTTTTTCGAAACATCGAACCATCATTGTTTGAATCCAGTTCAAAGGAACCCACCATTTCTGAAAACTTTTTTTTTTAATGATGGAAGTTCAGTTTTCGACTTTCAGGTTACTTTTCTTTGAAGTTTTGTCTTAATTTTACTCCATTTGTGAGGAGGATGAGCTTCCATAAGAAATTGAAATTTTGCCAAAAGAAAATGAAATTTCTGATAGAATTCCAAATTGAATTACCTGATGTGGATCAACATGAACTAAGATCGATTTGAACATGACCATTTCCTCCTTCGTCATCAATCCAGAATCCACTAGATGATCATCTGTAGGATATCGAGCTAACACTCGAAGTGATATACTCCTCCATGCGAGTACAGATGTTAGAATTGCATATCGAGCTATTGTTTTGCGGATAATTCGAGTTTCAGGCTGAAAAATTTCTCGATTGGGGTTCTTAGAGTCTTCGTACTGGTCCAGTATCTAAGGGTACATCGAAAAAGGAAATTCTTATGGTTCATTGGTTCCAAGGGTACCCATGTATTTTGTGGTACATGTGGGGTGACGAAAAATAAAACAAAACAATTTTTACACATAATTTTACTTTTTGATCGAAATTGAAGGCTTACGCTAAAACACCCTGCACCCCAAGATCCCATGTACCCTTTGAACCAATGTATTCTTTTTTTGATGTACCCTTGGGCTCTTCGTACTTACATCTTGACCTCGAATAAGAGCTGAAACATTATACAGTAGGTGATCCGGCCAACTGATCAGCTGGCAGCAATCCCACCACCTGAAACCAATTTTTCGGTTATTTATAACGTTCTAAAAACTAGTCCATTACCTCCTTACAATCATTGCAACATAAAAACCTAATAAGAATGTCAATGGAATTTCTTTGGTCCATCCATCAACTAACATTACATATTTTATAAATTCGTTCTGCTGTTCTTTTGTCATCCCGAACCTGAAAAAGAAAATAATTTCGACTTGGTGGGACCTTTTTTTTTGGGACAGCTGCAATAAATCAAAAGAGTCATTTTGTTTGCACCAATACGAGGAATGGGTTGTCTAGGAGGGTTAACTGCCTGATTTATGATGCGCTTAGTTTTTGAAAAATGAGTTTTTGAAAGTTTTGGGTCCCTGGTGGTCTAGTGGATTAGAAGTTTTGACAAGAATCAGATTTTCTAGATCCATGGAGATCGCTTTACCTGTAGTATGCATTGATGATATAGTACATGGTAAGAAAAATAAGTAGATGTTTCCATATTGCTTTCCATAGTGAACCTTTCCATCGGAATAATAGTTTGAGGAACGTATCCGAGTAAGAGATTGTCATTCACTGAAAATTAATCATGAATAAAAAAGGGGTAAAAAATTCGGGGGTACAATGATTCGGGGATGCAAAGGGGTGCAAAGTGATTTAGCGGTACAAAATCCACAGTTGGAGGGGACCGGGGAGGTCAAAGTTTAAATTTTCGCTGGTATTGTGTACCCCTGAATTGCCTTGTACCACAATGACCTCAAAAGTTTTGTACCCTCCGAATTATTTGCCAGAAAAAAGTACGAGGGAAAAGTTCAAAGAAGACGGAAAATGTTACTTCTACAACATATCGATGATGTCCCTTTGACACAAAAAAGAAGTCTGAGAGAGAGGGAGAGTATAGGCAGATTTGATTCCGATTCCATTCAACGAAACTTTTTGATATATTAGTGCGTCAGTTGTTGTGGCTGGGAAAAGCACCCGGATTCGAGAGCAACTCAAGGCGAGACTACGAAACGGCGAAAGGTCAGGACACAAGTCACGTCGTCCAATGGATCGAGTATGACACGTGGACTATTTTAGGTCAATAGTTAAGGGATTACAGATAATTAGAGAGATAAACTACCGTAAACACTTTAATGGAAGTCCACCCAAACCGTCAACTTTGAGCCCAATTATCTCGGTTCCTATGAAAGATATAAAAAGTGACCTATTTACAAAATTTATATCATAATATCAGGAATCAAGACACATGGGCTTAAAGTTGTTGGGGTCTGTGGCCTTCTATTAGAGTGTTTACGGTAATCCAAGTAAGGTGAAAACTTTGTTTTGAAATTGAAGTTTAAAGGAAACGAGAAAGAAGCAGAATTTCGAGCTAAATTAAATGTTGCTTCTATTGAATAAAGCCGACGTCATCAAATATTTTCCTACCATGGGAACATCGTCAACAATTGAACAGCAAGAACACTTGAAGTGCGGATTTTCATGGAAACAAGATCATTGGAGCACTTGGGAGAAAAACAAAATGAAAATGCATTTAAAAAAAAGGAAGACGAAAAAAAAAAGAAAAAAAGGAATAAAAGGATAAACCCTTTTAGCAATGAAGATAAGTGCTCCGGAAACTTTTAGTGAGTTCTTCTGCCGGCTCAAAAAAAACAAACAAAATGGAAAGCTAAATAACCGATGATCTTGCAGAATAGGAGACTGAAATGGTAATGTAAAATATGCGCATGTTTAAAGGAGGACTCGGATCTGAAAATGTATATCTGTCATTCAAAGAGATGAACATTTTTACGGTTTTCACTGCATATTTTTCAACAAAAAAAAAGCCGCGAGTTGTTATTTGAAGAAACTATGCGTCATTGAAAATTAACGAGATCCGGATGCCGGAACTCTCTCGTCCCTTTGGCACAAAGGAATCAAGAAAAAAAATGCAGAGAAAAATGAAGAGAAAATTACTTTAGGAATTTTGTAAGGGATGGAGAAGAAAGGGTTCGAACTTTCGAGTTTCCTGGATATCTGATTTCTTAGAATCACGAGTACAAGTCACACCAAGATGGTAACTGGATACCTTTTTTATCACCTTGATTATCCGAGTTAAAATCTTAAACATGAAGGTTCCAAATCAAATTAGTATTGGAGAAACAAATTGTTCGTTCTCTCTCCTTCGCTAGTGTCAGTTCAGTTTTGAAGGTCCGTGTGTGTCTATCGAATGACACAAGTTTGCAAAACAAAAATATCTCTGCTTCTCTGTTTGTGTGTGTCACTTGAATTCCTAAGGATAATACTACTTCATGTGGTTTTTACTCTTTCAGGGGTTCCTTAAAGCGGAACGTTACAGTACTCTAAATGTACATGGTTTTGGTGTGAAAATCGTAGAAAAGTGAAAATGATGCACCTGAGAAATATAGATACGCAGAAATCAAGAGGGGACACACAAAATCTGCGACATTGTGGTGATTTCTTGAAGGCAATAGAAAAGAGACACTCTTTGCGTCACTCACCTGTTACAACGGACCGCCGAACTCGACGCTCTCTCTCTACTACCACCAATAAGACTATCAGGAGAAGGAAAAGGGAGGAGAAGAAAAAAAGAAAGAGTAAAAGATACAAGACCCTATCTCTATTTATAACTTCTTGATTCGGGAGACACCACGTTTTTTTGGTATGAGTTGACCTGGTTCTGGAGTTTTAATGTTAAATGCTGGCAGTTATAGAAACATAGCAATACTACCTTGATTTATTTTTCAAATCAAAACCTGAAATCTTTCTACGAGGTTAGAACTTCTCACAAAAATGACTTTGAATACACCACATTCTTTAACAGATCTATGAGAATGGTATTCGAGTTGATTTACTGCGCACAATTCGTTTTTGAAACTTTATGTAAAAACTCGGTCATTTGAGAGTTTACATCTTTTATTTTAACTGACTTGAATACCAAATGTTCGAATCAGAACTCAGGGAGGACTTGAATTCGAATAGCTAAACTTTCGGTAACACAATAATATAAATAAAAATCTCCGTACACGGTCTCCCACAAAATAAATTCGAACTATGAAAATAGTTTTGCTTTACCATGAAAAATTTAAACTTCGAATTTCTTGTGTGGGAGACCGTGCCATAGTATCCTGATCTTTGAGCCAATTTTTCTAGATTCCCGAGGGAGATACAAGGATGTTTCAGCTTGAATCTGATGGTTGCTATTCTATTAGAGATGTTTCGATATTTCTGATTTGGGTATAGCTTTAAATTTGAGCAGCATCATTTTTTTTCAAGCCATTTGAAATTTGGTTTGCTGGAAAATTAACTCTGTGTCCTCAGATTAGAAAATTGAATCATAAGGACAACTATCGTAAACAATAACTATGCGCCCAAACCGTCAACTTTGAGCCTGTATACCGTTAAACCTGTATTTGAAGGCCCCTTTAATAGAAGTGCCGTCCGAGAGAGCTTGAAAAAATAAAAGGGCCCCATGTAATAGAAGGGCTTTCTGCGATAAGGGACTCCCCTTCAAAATGTGGTTTGAAATCAGAAAATTTCTCTACTTTTTCAGTGGAAACTATTCCGGGAACTCCACAATTTAATAGAAATTTGTTGAAACTCTATTTTTCGATGAAAATCTTGCTAAATTTTGATGAAATTGGCAGATTTTCATGAATTTTGAACTAAACTTAGTCAAATTTTTTTTTCGAAGAAATTGTTACTTGAAAACGAGAGTATTTATTTCAAGATACGGATTTGTAATGAGAAGCCAAAAATTGCAGGAGTTAGAATGAGTCTTATAAAAACCATTTTGGATTCTTGTTGTCTAATCAATTGAAATAGTCGGTTCAGAAAGAGAATTACAATTTGTTATACAAAAAGTTAGGTTATGTTAATGCTGAAGACCTGAGACAGTTATTGACATTTCACTTTTGCCGACAACACTGTAAGCTCACTCAGAACTCAGCAAATTTTCGGTACATGTTCCTTTATTTGGGGCACCGGTGTCACTAATCGGGCCCGAGTGTGTAGGGGCACGACACCTGCAATCTAGAAGCACGTGTTCCTAGGACACTCGGTACACGATGCCCTAGCGTGCCGAAAAATTTGCTGAGCAATAGGTAAAAAAACTCAAAGCTGTACCAAAATCAGCACCAAAACTCCATCGGAACAGTTGGAGTTGGGAAAAGTTACAAAGTGGAAAGATAGAGTGTTACACAGATCGGAGAACTATCATTTTATAGAGAGAAAAGGGACTCTTTTTTCCCCTTCAATTTCCCCGTTTCTCACTTTCATGTTACTCTTCCTTCTATCATCATTTGGACGGAGCGCGGGCAGTGCGTACGAGAAATAAGTTTTCTTTTGTTTGAAAAGCCGGGGCATCCCAATCGACGATGAATTTTGATTGGAAGTGGAGTTGAAGAGAGTGAAAATATATTGAAGAGCAAAAGAGAGAATTGAATAAATGAAGTGAGTCAGATGATCATGCGAATTAATGATTCTTTGATTATATTATCTTTGCGAATGTGTAAATGAGCAAATGCAAACGAAATGAATAGAGTCTACGGTAGTTTTATGGGATGCCTGAAATCGAAAGAAATAATGTTTGAAATCAAACATTTGGATATGTACAGTTTTACAATTTCCATTCAGTTTCTACTTGAACAGAGAAATGTTCCAAATAAAAACTAACAAAACACTCCTGGGTACGATACGGTTACAACCTCATCAAACATTGCATAACCCATATAAAAGGAGATGGATCCCGATATTTTCTGCCCCATTCCCATCTCAAAATGTTGAAGCTCTGTCTACTCGTCCCTCTTGTCGTTTTGGCATTCCAAGTGGATATCTCTTCTGCATGTGGATCATCAACTGATGCCGAATATATTGCCAATCCTGTATTCTCAATGCAAATCAGTCCTCCGGTTGGATGGACTTACTTCCCAGCAACACCTTCTGTTGCCAATCAAGCTATTTGGTATTTTGTGGGACAATCCAACGACACCTCCACTGCCAAAAACCGAGCGGATGCTGAGCTCACTGCTGCGGTAAGTTCATGGGAGAAAAATATATAAAATCAGCGATTGTTTCAGATGCTGGAAGCATTGGTAGCTGCAAACGTTCAAACACAAGGAGTAACCATTGCTAATGACTTCCAACCGATTCAAGTGGAGAATCCACAAACGACTACTCCAACCGGAAGTTTGTACGGAAAAGTTGAAGGAGGAGCATTGGTGGCAACTGCACCAGGAGTTACTACGGGTCAGTCTATTAAGTTTCAATTTTCCTTTTATTCATTGCATTTCAGGAGCTATTTTGTCCTACACGCCATACCATGTAACTATGAGAGTCACCGTCAGCAATGTTGGAGCAACTAGATTCTACTGGAACATCGTCCAAAGCACATTCCTTCAGAAGATGTCCATGAACTATAAGGCACAGTTTGTAGGAGATGTTACAGTAACCAAAGTATAAAAATGATATTCTGAATTCTGTATTAGTTTTTATTCTTCTCTTATTTCTAAATTTCTATTGAATAAACAAATATTTATTGTTGTTGCACACATGGAAACTGTGATAAATTTCAAACAGAAATCAAATTTGGAGAAATGATGAAAAAGAGAAAACAGAGAAAAAGGAAATATTTACAGACGAATCCCGCAATTGAAATTCAAGAATGGGGTGTTGAGAATTTGTCGAATTCAGGGAAATTCTTTTCCAGAGACAATGAAAGAGATGAGAAAGGATTGATGCCTATGAAAAGCTCAAATGGTTTTTTTTTGGGGAATTTCAATCGGGAAAACTTTTTAAAGCTGTCAATGAGAGAAAAAATGGTGGTCCTGAAAACAAGGAGTGGGATTTTTTGTGGATTTTGGGATATGTTGAGGATCAGAGATTGATGAACAAGAAAGAAGAGAAACAAACGAGAATTTTGGGGAAAATAACATTTTTTGGTGAAAAGAAAGTATGATAGGAAAGGGAAAGACCAAATGGAACAGAGAAAACAAGATGAACTGAATCTACAAAATCCAAAGAACCTGGAATGGACAACTCCCTCTAACAGGAGGCCACCTAAGCCGTCAACTTTGAGCCCATATATCTTATTCTGTTTGTAAAAGTTCCAAAATAAATTAATTAACAGTGAGATAATTGTTTAAATACAAAAAAATGTATTTGAAAAGGCTCTTTATGTTCTCTCTGTTCTAAAATATTTACACATAAGAAACAGGTTGATCTCTAAACAGTTCGAACTCGTCAGCAAACACAATCATACTATTCTGCGTGGGCTGCGGAAGTGTCATTGGTGAGACAATTGTCATCGTCGTCGTCGGATTGATTCCTTTCCGGCTCGACTCGACGTCCACCACGTCGAATTCCTCTTCGGCGGTCGATTGCCGTTGAAGGTATCGATGATTTGGCCGATGATTTATTTTCCGCGTTACCACCGTAGACTGTGCACATTCGTTCGCCAAAGAGTAGCACTGAAATGAATTTGGGTTATTTGCTGAAAGGAAAACAATAGGAATATTCTCGATTAATATATCGAAGCATTGGGAAAAAAGAAAAAGTAAATCAAAAAAGTTAGTTAGGGAAAATTTGGTGGAAACTGAAAAATGGATTGGGGCCCGAACTAAAAAGGGTATCAAAAAGAAGCTAAGGAATCTCATGGCAAAATGAAAAAAAGAAAATGGTAAGCGTGTAAAAAAGGGTAAGCAAACCTGTTCATCGATGTAGTTGGAGATCTGTTTTTTGTGAGTGTATTTGGAATTATCATGCTCGACTCGAGATTTCATGCGGAGGTAGAATGCAGGAAGAAGGCATCGGTTGCTCAAAGGCGCGTTGATTCAACCTGAACAAACTGGTGGTCAATGACAAATTGACCAACTGAGAAGAAAAACCACCGGCAGAAAAGAAATTCAGAAACCGACGCCATGCATTTGTTTTTGTTATTATTTTTGGCTTTCTGTATGCATTTTTTCAATTTGGAGCGGTTTGATGCTGCGTGAGGATAACAACGAAAAGCATAGGGAACATGAGATAAGGAACCCGAAAAATCCGAAAAGCAACCCCAAAACCAGAAGTTCCATATCCCAAATTCCCAACGCTATTTCGAAAAAAGAAATCAGTGAGGAAAGGAATTGAAGGAAAACTGTGCGTTCTTATCATTCTCGCATTCTTATCAGAATATTTTGCTCCTCTTACTTGTCCTTCCCACCGATCCCTCCGCAAACATCTCCTGGAGTAAGGGAGATTTTCCACGCATCTTCCTTCCAGAGTTCTCAAATCATTAAAATTGTATTCATCTTTCTTCTTTTTTTCAATCTGATCACCCAAATAAAAACCAACAAAGATGCAAATTTTTGTACACAGGAATAGGCTGTTAGTATTTTGGAATGTGTCAACAACTCAGTCGAAAAAGAGTGGATAGAATGGGTTAGAATCATGAAAAATACCTTCTCCTGTTCCAATGATGACCTTTTGTCATATACATCCCGTTCAATAATCTGAATCTGATCAACATGATCAGGCGATCCATCTGAAATTCGGTATTAGATTCCCAAGAGAAACACGCTTACCTCTGGGAGCAATGACAATCGAAGTGGTGTAACTCTTCCTCTTATCACCCATATCACTTCTTCTTGTCACATCGGTGGTCCTTCTTTGAACCGTCGGTGGCGGCTCGTTGTTGTTTGATCTTCGACCACTTGATACTCTTTCTACGGGTACTAGAAATAATAAGATTAGTGAATTATTTAATAGGTCTCAGAAATTTAAATGACATTCAAAAGATCAAGAAGGTAATATATAAATCGATTGTTTGGTTTTTTTGGCTGTGAAGCTGCTTTGCAAATCGAATTACCGTATTTCCTCTAATTGAAGCTAAACCATCAACTTTGAGTCCATTTTACCTCGGTTTGTGTAGAATTTATCAAAAAGTTGTCAAGTGACAAATTATTTATCATAAGATCACAAACTTTTTATTAGTTGACAGATTTTTGACATCTTGCATAGAAACCAAGATAATTAAGCTCAAAGTTGACGGTTTCGGTGAGCTTCTATTACAGGAAACTTTTAATGTTTCATAAAATATGTTGTGTGCTGGCACCCGTTCCAAAATATTCAAAACCTCACACTTGGGATTCGGAAGCGATGTCGTTTGCTCGACAGGTTTCCTCGTTGTCTTCAGAATATCTGGTGTTGAAGGAAGGAAAATCGCTTCATCCTCATCATCATCAGACCTCTCCTGTTCATCCAAATCTTCTTCAATATCATCCTCGATATCAGATTCATTTCCACAATCCTCCTCCTCTTTTGGAGGTTCTTCCACACTGTATCGCGAGAAGAAACTCTGCCAATCAGCTTGTCGATCCATTCCAAATATCGAATATGAATTTCGTATCATCACTTCAATTGCTTTGTTCGTGTATTGAGCATGCATGATGGCTGACGTGTGATCGATTCGTTTCGGAGACATCCAGATTAAAGAAGGAGCTATTACAGTTGACAAGTTGGCGGCACCCATTAGATTTACTTCGTGGAACCTGAAATTTGTAATTTACGATTTATGAACCGGACATCAATTCGAACAGACCATGAAACCCGATTTAAATGAAGCATGATAAATTTGAGTGTTTCGTAATTGTGAACAGGTAGTTTTCTAACGAGCTGTCTCAATTTTTCCACTTTCTCCTCTTCACAATTTGATCCAGATGCTTGAGCAGAACAACATTCGGTTCCTAGTTTCACAAAATCATCGTAGAGTTCATAAGTGAGAAGAGGCTCGGGAAGTTTTCGAAGATACAACTTCACAACTGAGGCCAGATTCATTGGATTCTCATTTTCCAGGCAGATCTCCTCATCAGAAGAACTCCTTTCAAATGAGTTGCAGATTTCTTCAATCTTCGATTTCACTCCACACGTTCGATAAATTCCCTATAAATCGTTTCATTCAATTTGAACAGTTTTCTGAACTCACTTTAGCTCTCAACCCTCTCCTCTGCAACTGATCAATGCTCTTCTCGATAATCAACGGGATATGTCTGTTCTGATGTTCCAGAAGACCTTTCAACGGAACTCCAAAAATTGACGTTCGGCGATCGACCAGTTTGGAAGCTTGTCCACATACTTGTTGGATCTAGAAAATCATTAATTGATTTGTTCTTCATTCCCGAATAAACTCACTCTTGGAAAGCAAGCTTTATGCCATTGTCCTCCACAATCAATACACTGAACTGTGTATAGGATGGACAATGTATCACAAGCGGAGCATTTTGATGGCTGTACAGTTCGTTGAATGTGATGCGATTGAGCAGCTGTTGAGATCTCATGGTTGTCAAATGTTCGGCCAGCTGGAAATAGATATTCTAATTTTGAAGAAGAAATTTGATCGTTACCATAGCTTGTCTTCTTGTGTCGTTTGGTATCCGGAAGAGCCCCTTCGTCGTCTGGGTTGATCGCATTTCTACGGAGAGATGTTAAAGAGGACGATCCATCACATGATGCTACACCTTCGTCAATAGAACGGTCCGATCTGAAGATTTTTTTGAATAAAAATATCGCAATTATAATTTTTACTAGTACTCTAATAGAAATCGTCTATATCTCTTTCCCTGTAAAAGATATCAAAATGTGAGAAACTGATAAAATGTTTATCATAATATCAAACATATTTTGTCAGTTGACCACTTTTTGATATCTTTTGCATGGAATATATGAACTCAGAAATGGCAGTGTGGGTGGCACTCTATTAGAGTGTTTACGGTAGAACCGCAAGTTTCTGAAAAACTCTTTACACAGAAATATTGAAATAGGGACAGTTTATGGTTGCAGCTTATCGGAAAGTAGTCAACTACCGTAAAACCTGTAATAGAAGGACGCCCTTGCTTTTCACTTTGAGCTCGGTTTCTATGCAAGATATAAAAAAGCTGTCTATTGACAAATTTATCACAATATCAAAAATATTTTGCCAGTTCTTACACAGGACCCAAGAAAAATTAGCTCAAACTTGAGAGTGTGGGGGCCCTTCTATTACAGGCTTTCTGTCTCAATTCTAAAATTAATCTTTCTGATCAACACTCACCTGACAAGACTGCTACTACTGGCAGCTCGCGTGGGCAAAGTTTGCAGGAATGCCATGTACTCGGTCCCCGGCTGATAGTCCCTTGTCGCATTCGACAACTCGTGAAATGCTCCTGGCAATCGCGCCCAAAGCGCCGCCAGTGACTGAAACGATGAGGATATTAACTGGAATATGATTTGGTGTTTATGGTTCAAAAACAAATTCTTATTGCTCACCAACTCAATCATTTTATCTCGATCAGAATGTAAGATTTACTGAATAAAGTGTATCGATGGGTGTATTCCAGATAGAAAGAGATGGGTCAGGAGGGCATTTAATTAAATTTCGCCCCCTCACTTCTTCATCACTTGTGACCCACCACAATGATTCAGAAAAGGGGGAATTTTTTCGGAGTCGGAAATAAGAAAAGAGTTCCAAATGAAAGGGTAGAATTAAAAATGAAATGCAAATTCTTTTTCTATTCTAGGCGAGGAGATGCAGAAAAAAATGCGGGGGATATTTTTGGAGGTGGATAATTAAATTGTTCTTGGCTTTTTAGAAGGTCAGAAAGGAGCAGTTAGAGAAATTATATTCTTGGTGGTGGATCTTATTCGAGTGGGTTGTAATTGTGTGGACTTATTGGAATTTTGAACAGTGTGTCAGAAATGGAAAATTTGTAAATATGGTTCAGAATTCTTTGAAAGGGCATGAAGAACAAAATAATCAAATCTCCCCCCGTGCTTTATTTCCAGGGAATCTTGAGTCATAACAACATTCTAAGTTCTGAAGAAAAACCCGTAAAACATTTGTTCTAAAATGTAGGTCCTCTCATACCGTAAAACCTGTATTAGAAGAGTCCCTTTAATAGAGGGGCCCTTCGAGAGGGTCTTGCAAAAATAGAAGGGCCTCCATCAATTTTGCAAGTTGAGTTTTCTAGGCCACCACGAAAACATAACAGGGCTGTGTTAGATCATTTCTAGGCCAAAATTAGCTGGTGGCCTAGAAACCCCAACTTACAAAAGTTAGGCCGCCATGTATTCGTTTCGAAAAATCTCTCGAAAAATTTTGGCATTTTTCGAGGAATTTTTAGATATTTCTCTAAATTTCGAAAATAAAATGGCTGGAAAAATAGAAGGGTCCTTGTAATAGAAGGGCCCTTCGGAGGCACCGTTGAACAATAGAAGGACCAGCTCTTCTAATACAAGCTTTACGGTAACTGCCTTTCTAATAAAAAATATAAACTCACCGTAAAATAATGAACTGTGCACGCTTTGGTCGTCTGCTCACACTGGAATATGAGCTCGCGGAGCCGTTCGACCACGCTCTCCTGCAACACAAATTCTAGTATTATTGTGTGTCCCAAAAAAAAGAATTCCCAAAGGGAAAACATATTATCGAGTAGGTGTTGTGTTGGTTCTCTCTTCTTCTCTATTTTTTTCTGGTCTCGTTCTCGGAGACGGATTCAAACAGATGATAAAAGGAAGTGACTTGAGATGGAAACACAAAATACAAAAAAATTAAGAAGAAGAAGAAGAAGAAAAAGAATAAAAACTTGTGGATAGATAAACGATGTGGTTACGGAAAATGAGGTCGTTGAGAAGAGGAAAAGTCTGAAAATCATATGGGGGATTTATGAGGATTTTTATTGGATACACTTGAAGAAGCTTATTTGAAGAAAAAAGGTATCAGATGGAAAAGATGGAAAATCTAGTTATGTACACTTTTAGGGTAGCAGGAGGAGTCAGAATCCAACACAAAAAAGTATTTGCCTTCTTCTTTCCAATCACGAGGATTGACGAATCTCATCAAAGAGTTGTGAGGTACGAAATAAAAAAGAAAAAGAAAAAAGATTGAAACGACGAAACGACAACGCATGTACTTTTTCTAATGAAATCCTTTCTTGACTCCAAAAAATGGAATTCGAAGGATTACGGTAGACTACGTCATTCTGGAAATAACGCGAAGATTTCGGGATCCAATTTTAATGGAAAAAATATGACAAACACATCTAGAACTGCAGAAAGTCGATATTTCGACTTTCATTTGAAATTTCAGTTGATTTAATTCGAATCGACGTCAAAAGGATTACTGTAGTCTGGAGACATCAAAGTGCATCATAAATTACATTTCATGTCTGTCAAAAAAATGAAACCTGGAGGAGGCGGAAGGGGATAGAGATGGATAGGGCAAGTATCGGATATCAATTCATTGCGAATTGATTCTCAGATGCATCCAGATTTTCCACACTCTATAAACACGTATTCTGGAGCCAAAACGGGAAGTTGGGCATGTAATCGGACACCTTCGAAAAAATGGTCGAAAAAACTGAATGAGCAAAAGGGAGAAGAATTTTTTCGGAACAGAGTAAGATTTCAGAGATGAAGTTTTTGAAGTAAAAATTGGAGCTGAAGGAAGACACAAAGAAGTAGAAATAGGGAAAGAGGGCGAGACAGAGAAGAATGTGATGATTCTATAAATATAAGTGTGAATGAAGAATTTTAAGGAGCATAACCAGTATAAAAAAACAGAAGACGTGGAGAACAACTACAGAGAAAGAAGAAGAAGCGACACGTTTTGTTGTCGTGTCGTCTTCTTATTCTTCTTCTTTTCTTGCGTAACAACAATGAAAAAGTATGAAAGCATGAGACATCGGAGCACAGAACTAGAAGGTTTTTTTCTTGTTGATTAAATTTATAGAACTGATGTTCTTATGTCTTCTGGGGTTCTCTGATGGGTCTTCTATAGCTCAACAGTACATTACTAGCAAAGAAAATGTACTCGCACTTTTGGAGACAAAAACAAATCTTTTAAATGAAAATTTCAGACGAAACGGAACAGAAAACTGTTCAAAGATGAGAGATGAATTGTTCATCAAAAAAGACCTTCTTGGAAATTCAGAGATCTCACAAGTCATGAAGCCCCAATTCTTACGGCTACATCACGTTCTGATATGTCAAAATGTTCAAAAAATTCTGAAATTCAGACATATTGAAATTCAAGATAATTCTAAAATCCTGAAATATTCTGAAATTCGAAAACATTTTAGATAATTCTAGAGCATCCTATTAAAAAATTATGAAAAGAAATGTATGAATTTTCATATTTTGAAGTTCTAGAAAATTCTGAAATTTGGATTTTCGAATTTATCTTACAGGTTATGTTAGGTGATCAGATTCATGAGAACTTAATAGTTATTAACATAGGCATAGTTTTCTGGTTTCAGTTGAAAAATTTCTGATCTGTACTTTTAAGTGTTGATTTCTTTCTTTGAAAAGCCACTACAAAAGCTTATAAACCATACTTGTAAAATTCCGGGCCGGCCCGCCAAAGCCCGGGCCGGGCCTGAGGAAAATTTCAAGACCCGGACCCGGCCCGGAAGGCCCGGTAGCAAAAATTTTGTCATTTTGAACCGAATTTTGAGCTCTCAATACAATTTTTTATATATTTTTTGTGCTTTTTGGATTGTTTGTCTTTTTGATCAAAAACTATCAAAAAAACTCGAAAAAAATTTTTTGATCGGAAAAAATCACATAAGGGTCCCCCCATATGTGATTTTTTTCGTTTTTTGAAATTTTCAAAACTTGTGGGATGACAGGCTAGCCGGGCCG